AATTGTCATCGTTCGAGGGGATGGGGGGGGGGAGGTCGAGTTCGAGTTCGAGTTCGAGGGTTCGAACTGGCATCGTACGTCTGCCCTGGAGGGGATGGGGGGGGGGAAGTTCGAGTTGGAGTTCGAGGGTTCGAACTGGCATCGTGCGAGGGCCCCGGAGGGGCGGGGGGGGGAGTTTTGAATTTGTTTTGCTAATTTCCTGGTGCCCAAGGTCCAACATCCAATAATTTACCCCTCTGATAGCCAAGTATAAGAAAATTATTTCCTGGATGCTTGCGTTGGTAACATGCCATATCTCCCCCCCTCAATCTGATACGGAAAAAAATTAATTCCTGGCACCTGGCTTCCCGGCTGACAGCTCGCAGTCTTTCAGAGCTTGACCGTGAATGCATACTCGGAAAGGTTTTTTTTTTTCCCTCCGGGGGGGGAGGGCGAGTTCGAGTTCGAGTTCGACGCGGCCGCCGCCAGGTCAAAATCGAGTTCGAACTGCTCTGGGGCGAGTTCGAACGCGAGTTCGAACTGTGTCACCGCCAGTTCGAACTCGAGTTCGAGCATGTGGACCGCGAGTCCGGACTCAGAAAGCTTGGTTTTTTTTTCCGGGGGGGGGGGGTTCGAGTTCGAGTTCGAGTTCGAGTTCGAGTTCGAGCGGGGCTCACTATGCACCCATGAGGACTCCCCCATTCAATCCTCAGAAATGATGGTCACGTCACCATGATGGTGAAACCCAAGTCTCCTTCATATCGTATGGTCAAAGTTCCTATAAATGGTGAATTAGCGGTGATTTAATGGGGTTTAATGATTAATGGGATTTAATGGTGATTTATATGGGATACCTTCTGGTTGGTGGTATACCTACCCCTCTGAAAAATATGAGTTCGCCAGTTGGGATGATGACATTCCCAATATGATGGGAAACATACAATTCATGTTCCAAACCACCAAGCAGAATGATAGTAAAGCCTCCATCAAATTTCTAATCAACCACGGCGTTTGAAGCTATGAAAGGATATTTAAGATTATTTAACCATCGACACACCCCGCTGTTTTTGAGGGTTAAGCCATGATATTTATGGATGTTTCTTAAAATGGTGGATCCCCAAGTCACCATGGAGTGTCCTCATTTTAGGAAACTACATGTCATTTCCCATGAAATCCAACTACATGTCATGAAAAATCCTGTAACAAAAACACACAACCACCACTAGACATCATCGAAATCTCCGAAAAAACAGATGCCATCAATAACCATAAATAACCATTATTAACCCCTACTCTCTGGTAATTTGTTACATAGCTATTGAAAATGGTCATTTAGTTCGTTGATTTACCTACAAAATTGGTTGCTTTTCCATGGCAAACTGTTAGTTCACGAGAGGGTATTACCCATTTATAATTGGGGTGAACTAACCCACTTACTACTCTCTGGTAAACTAACATAACTATGGAAAACCACCATTTTTTATGGCTAAATCAACGAACTAAATGGCCTTTTCCTCTTGCCCGAGAGCCCCCCCTGGACGAACTAAATGGTCATTTTCAATAGCAAACTCTTAGTTTACTAGAGGGTTAATCCATTTATAACTGGGGTGAACTAAGCCACTTACTAAGCACGAAAATGGATTATCCCTAGTAATGGTGATTTTGTTTATGGTTGATAGCCTCTTAGTAATGGGTGATTTAACCACTCTTAACCATCAAACACTATTCTTAACCCACTATTAACCCAATTGAGCCATTATAAATACCCCTATCCCATCTCATTATACTAGTTGGTTGATAGTTTCCCTACTATAGGTTATCGTAATCCCCAGTAAACCAGGTAGTATAAATTAAC